GGTTGATCGGAGACTTTTGCCTTTTCCAATTTTGTTCTTCATGTCCGAGTTTGGATTATGTCTCCTGTGTTCCTCGGTTTCTATAGGATCTCCAAAGCCGAAATATCCTAACAACAGATAATATACTGCCACACAAACTATTTCAAGTTAAAATCAAAGTTGCCGATACAAAATACAGAGGAAAACAATTAATATATTTACCAGGTTTAAACGAAGAATCCAAGATCTCAGGTGACAGACCAGCGAGCTCCAACCGAGAATCTTTCACCAATTGCTGATACCTTCGCTTATTCGGAGAAAGATCAAATAACTTATCCACTCGATCGTATAACACCTCTTCGAATCGAGGTTTTTTCTTTTCTTTTGGTTTGGCTACAATGTCACAAAAAGTCCACCTGTTAGCGAAGACAGAAAACGAGTGATTAATACTTTGAAATGGGGAAGAAAGATAAATTAACTTAAAATATCCAGATTTAACAGCATCGGGATACTTATCCCATTGGCAAGAAGGTTGTTAGCAAAGTCGGCACACTACCAGTCTCCGCCAACCCACAACCATTCTTCCTGAAATCCATGGAGCGTGTCGGGAACCTCCGTTATCAACTCACCAACCTTGACCCTTAACAGAGGCTTACCGACAATCGAAAAAGTAAGAAGCGGGTCTGCAACCTGTCTATCCAGGATTTTCGAAAAGTAAACATACTTCACATGTCCTTCGCCAATGACAAATCCCATTTCTTCTCCGCGAGGAGTACGAGCAGACCGATAACCCGCTTCCATGAATTCAGAGCAATTTGACATAGGGTCGACTCCCTATTCCGCAAATATTCGGTAATTATGCGTGGTAGGGGAAATCGTAACCCTGATCTAAGACTCTCAGCAAATACACCGACACACCCTGGCGGAGGACATGTGATCCTTTCTCCAGGGTACGACGCAAATAAGTGCACCAACGTAGGGAGTCGAATCTCACCTCGCAACATAATGACATCAGCATCTGTCAGTATGCTCGGCTCACCGTGAAAGCTTACTTTAGGGTCCAGCCACCTTCTAATTGGCCGTCTCCAATATCTCGGGTCGTCAAAAGCATTTTCTTCCACCGTTTTATCCCCTTCAGTGTCGTTTAATCGAATATTCAGACGTTCGACAAAAACTGGATCCCACCGATTGTATTCGGAAACCAATTCCATCTCCCCGGAGTGAACCATGTTGATCATCAGAATGTCCAGCTCATCATCACCAGAAGATGCCCACGACACACTCATGATTTAAGGAAAAAATATACCGAAAAAGGTAAACAAAATTAAGAAATAAGTCTTACCACGAGAAGAAATTCGCAAATATGCAGGATGTACTCTGAAGGATTAAGTTATGAGTCGATAAATCAAAAGGAGCGACAAAGTTGCAAGAAAACAGGAAGTTGGATTGCAGAGAAATTGAAGATAAAGTGAACTTCAAGGGACAATTTGCTATTTATACTTAACCCTAAATTTAGAAGTGACCGTTGAGGAGGAAAAGAAATAGGGACGCGTGGATTGTACCTTCTAATCTTACAAGTGAACGTGACCCTTGAGAACTGCACCTATCGGTAGCGACTACGTGGCCTATAAAAAGTAATCGTTGCCCCATCAGCGAACATTGTATTTAATTCTAGCAATTTGTGCCGTTTCAGCTTCAAGTTCCTTTTCCACACCAAGTATTGGGATGTCGGGACACAACACCAATAAACCGACATGTATAGCTTGCACAAAATTGAGAATTTCCTTATATTCTTCAGCATCAATACCCGTCTTCTTTAAGACGCCCATTAATGCTGGGGGCCACCTTGTTGACATGGTTTTCTCTAAACCGATTAATTAATAATTATTGGCACCAGGAGCTCAATGATTAAAAGATTAGGCTATCCCCGAGGTCGATATACTCGCAAATTTCAAGTAACTACAAGTTGGATAAGAGTGAGCCAAGTACCAACGTCGTTTTCAAGAAACCGACATCTCATGTCGGTTATGACCTAGCGAACCGATATCTATGATATAATAAACCGACATCACGAGGCGGTGCCAACTCAGCAAATCATCATTACGCTTGGCCAAGTGGCACGTTACAAGAATAAGTGTCAATCAGCTGCCATTGACTTTTTTTTAGAATTAACATAGTCTCGACTATTTTTTACTTTACTATAAAAGTCACGAAGAAGCTTCATAAGAGGGACATGTAATGAGAACTTTCCCATTCAATAGATCGTATTTTACCATCTCTTATTAACAATAACTTCTTTTGATAAGCGACACAACTTGTTCTAAGTAATCCTTGTTAATTCACACATAACAACAATCATCTTCATATATTATGCAAAAAAACGTACCACATAATAAACTGATCTCCTATAATGACCTCTAAGTATTAAAAATTCGACGGAGTATAAAATTCATAGCACACCTAGTTTGTAATATAGGCCCAAAAAGGTACGAATCGGTGGTGATATAAAATATTGCATAATAAAATAACAATAAATCGCAGATGGGAAATGTTTAATATTCCACGCACCTTTGGGGGAAAATTATCATAAATAATTGCCCAATATGAACCAACTGCTCATGCTAATTATCAAATAAATAAGTTGGGCATCGAAGTATAATAATCCATTTCTAAGTGAACACTATATGCTTCATGCACTATAATTGAACTTTGGTTGTGAGCCTTGTATTGTAGCTATCAATAATAGTATGTGCTCCGGGCACTATATATAAATTTATTAGTGTAGCTATCAACAATATAGTTCAATCTTGGTAACATTATGGTTACATAATGTCATTAAGAGTATATTGAATATGCAGAGCTGATAAAAAATCTAAAGATCATGAATTTTTCCAAAAATCAACGACATTATCTACTAGATCAATTTTTCAAAGATACTTGCTAGATAATATGCAATTATAATACTGGTCAACAGGAAAAATCCTTCTGGGATGACCAAATCTAGGTTGGTATAAAATTCAATAGGATATTTGCTCTGTAATTCATGACAAATTACAAAAATAACTATACAAGTTGCATACCTTTCATTTGGTTCATTAGTCAGTTAGACTAAAGTTCAGGATATTAAAATGGATTTAGGCTCAATAAATTTGGATAAAGTCCATACTCAATGCATAAAACAATGGAACAAAATATGCAGCTATAATTTGCAATATAAATTCATGTCGTAATTGCATATTTAGATAGCTTCATCATATATGTTTCATGCGAATTCAGATTCATGGACAAAATAATAATATATGTGTGCATTTTTTTTACAACTCTTCAGGAGTATAAGAGGTGAAGTTTGCGAGATATATTTACGTAAGTTATATAATATTTTTTTTCATTCATCATAAAAAATAATCCTTATCTTGAGAATAATGTCTGCTAGACATATCTTACGTGTGTTCCCACTTTCTTTATTTTTTTTTTCCGAAACGACAGGGATAACTATATAGAACTAAAAAGGCGAACCAAGTTCGAATTACAACCCCACAACTCGAAAGAAAAATAAAAATGAGAGACGCGCAACAAGCGGTCTAGAGCCTCAACAAAGATAGCTAAAAAACCAGTCATAACCAACAAAGAACTAGACAAAAGGTCACCTGCCACTGCTCAAAGAGCCTAACAGGGAAAAAACCACAAAACAAACAAAAAAACCAAAGAAAACTGAACCAGCAAGCAAGCTAAACAAGAGAAGAAGTAGTAGCCGAGGTGAACTCCAACCAGTCTGCAGAAGCCAGCTTGACCAAGATGGGTTCCGGGATGCGAGTGTTTTGAAATACCCACAAGTTCCTGGATTTCCAAAGCCACCAAAGTATATAGGTCGATAGAAGAATACGGGCTTCAGCAACTTCAGAATTATCCAGAGAACAAACATGATACCACCAAGTTTTGAAAGAATCAGTGCAACACAATAAACCATCCCACTGAACTGGATTAAGTTTCCAGCAGTTTACTGCCCTACTGCAAGAGAAAAATAGATGCTCTACTGTCTCAGCTGCTTCACCACACAATGTGCAAGTAGATTCCAAGTCAATTCCCCTCTTTCTCAGGTTTGTAGTAACAGGAAGTGAGTTAGCAAGACACTTCCAGATGAAAATCTTGATTTTACCTGGTAATTTAAGCTTCCAGTGTCTGAAGGAAATGGACTTCTTGAGGGTGGTAGAAGAGCTGCTTTCAGGGTGGTCAAGTTTATGGATTTTAGAGGACAATAGATGAGCATAAGTCTGAGAAACGGAAAATAAGCCTTTCTTGCTCAAGCCCCAATATAACCTGTCCTCTCTTGAAGGAGAGATAGAGTTGATTTTCAGGATGGCACTACAGTCAACTTCATCAAACACTTGCCTTAATAACCAGTCATTCCAGTGAGTTCCCTCATTGTTTAATAAATCTCTAACCCAAATCAAATGATCTCTAGCAATAGGAATGAGTGAAGGACTGGGTTTGGAGTGATGTGGAATCCAGTTTAGATCAGTGATTTTAGACTGCACACCACTTCTGATTTCAATGTTGAGACATTTAGTAAAATAAGGGATAATTTGCATCCGGCAATTCCACATCCAAGAGCCATTGGAAGTTCTAGAAGCATTAACCAGTGAACAGTTAGGAAAGTCCTTTCCTTAAGAATTCTGCTAACAAGAAGCTCTGGATTTGTGGCAATTCTCCAAAGTTGTTTACAAATTAAAGCTTTGTTGAATAATGGCAGATCAATGAAAGATAAGCCTCCATTTTCTTTGGGAAGAGAAAGATGGTTCCAGCTTTTCCAATGGATTCCATGAGCCTGGTAAGACCCTGATTTCCACCAGAACTTTGCACATAATCTTGTGATTTCAGAGCAAATAGAGATTGGCAAAGTGAAACAAGCCATAGTATAGACAGGAAGGGCTTGAATGATGGACTTGATAAGAACTTCCTTCCCTGAGGAGCTAAGCATCTGAGATTTCCAAGAAGTGATCTTAGTCTTGACAGAGTTCAACACATAATCAAAAACTTGTTTTTTAGATCTACCAATTCCCAAAGGCAAGCCCAAGTATTTGGTTGATCTGTGAGAGACAATGTTGTTCAGAGCATTGCATATTGATCTCTTCAGGTGGTCAGATGTGTTTCTGCTGAAGAAGACAGCAGATTTCTGAAGGTTAACCGTCTGGCCAGTGAATAATCTGTATTTCTCAAGAATGCTCATCAGAAAACCTGCTTGATCAGTACCAGCTTTAAGGAAGAACAGGGAGCCATCAGCAAAAAGGATGTGAGATAGCACAGGCCCATTTCTGGACAGTTTCAAACCTTTGAGCATCCCAGAAGATATAGAATGTTGAACCAAGGCAGTAAGCAATTCAGTTACAATAAGAAAAAGGTAGGGGGATAAAGGATCCCCCTGCCTTATACCACGCGAGGGAAGGACATAACCACTGATGCTGCCATTAATTTTGAAAGAAAATGAGGTAGTAGTAACACAGGTCATTATCAGCTTGACAAAATCATTGTGAAAACCCATATGAATCATAAGTTTCTTTAAACAAATCCATTCAACACGATCGAAAGCTTTAACAAGATCTAACTTGAGAGCCATAAAAGCATGAGGGCCAGAAGAGTGTCTATTAAGGAAATGGAAAGCTTCTTGTGCAATAATAATATTGTCAGTGATTTGTCTGCCCTCCAGAAAAGCAGCTTGAAGGTCACTAATGCAACAAGGTAAGCAGGACTTAAGTCTTTGAGCCAAGATTTTGGAAATGAGTTTGTAGATAACAGTACAGAGACTTATTGGCCTGAATTGGCTCAGATTGTCAGGAGAAAAACACTTGGGGATCAGAGATAGCACTGTGTGGTTCCAATGTTTCAGAATATTACCTGATTGGAAGAAACTGATGATTGCCTTCAAGAGATCAGCTTTGATTAAGCTCCAAAAATGCTGGTAGAAAATGGCTGTCATCCCATCCTCACCAGGGGATTTATCAACTTGAAAACTGAATAGAGCTTGTTTAATTTCATCCTCTTCAACAGGTTTAAGGAGGGCAGTGTTCATATCTGGAGTTATGGTTTTAGGAATTAAGTGAAGGATAGAATCTC